TGAAAAACTCGTATCTCCTTCTGCTACTACTGGCTTCTGTTGGAAATGAGCCTGCGGGTACTGACCAGGCCTCACAATATTCCAAATCAGACCGATATTCCCCACACAGACACCTCAGAAGGAAAAGCATATTCCTGCCTCTTCAAATGAGATTTTAGATGAAAGCACTGTGGATGATTGTCAAAAGGCTCTTCCTATGGGCCTTGTAGATCCAAGACTTAGATAATAAAGGGGGTTAAGAATACAAGAGTTACAACTGAGCCTGGCCCCAGACAAAGAGCCTAATTTAGCATTAAGGAACAGATAAGGGAGGACCTTAAGTTGATGCTTATACCTTTTGTAACTGGTATCTATACCTTTTCTATACTGATATGTATAGCAGTCCCTTCCCTAAGGCTTATATTCCACAAACACCCTCCCTTACACTGGCGGCTGGGATGAGGATAGATAAGAGTAGCTAAAACATAACCCAAATACAAAGGCCGACACATTTAGGGCCTCCGTGGTGTTTACACATTCAGCATCAAGTCAAAAAGGTTTCCACAAACAACTTATTAACCAGCTCAAAAACATCCGTCCTCTCTCAGCCAGACGGAATGACTCCTAGCCTATCTATACACTTACCCTATGACCTAACCTTAGCGTTATTAACTTAGAACAAACATGTATGTTATCCTGGTTTTCACTAAGAATACCCTGTTATTTCCTTAGTTGTAAGATTTGCTCAGCCTCACCATGATCGGGGTAGTTCTGCAAGAACACTTCTGTAAAACCTGCTTCTGTACACTTTCCAAAGCATCTTATCACAAAGAGTATCCATTGTAAAAATTCCTTTTTCTGATGTCATGTTATCGTTTGACCTATAAATAAAGACACCAAAACCCACAGGACAGAGATCCTGCCTGGTGATCAGAAAGAATCTCGGGGCTCTCTCACTCTCTCCCTCGCCGACACCGTCCATCCTTCAGGGACCCCTGGACCAGCTGGAGCAGGTCTCTGGCAGGGAGACGGTCTTTCCACCCTCTTCCCAGGTTGCCAACTTCCTGAATAAAGCAACCTTTCCTTCCGCACATCACTCCCCTCGCGAGTGCTGATTTTCAAGCAGCAAGCAGCTGAACCTCACTGAGTTTGGAACCGGTTCTCTGTCCAGTAACAGGGCGATGCTGTCTCAGCATTTGTGGGGGCAATCTCCACAGACTGTAGGGTCCACAGTCTCCAACCTGTGCACCCGTCCTCTGCCACCACGGCACAGTCCTTCCTGCCACTGAATGCAGAAAAGCTGATTTGATCAACAATGCTTTCAAGAAAGATCTTGATCAAAAGGGAGAAATGTGAAAGTAAATAAAGGAAACCTCATTTAAAATGGAGTTGAGAAGCCCAGAAGGGGGACTGCTCATGCCTGCCCCGGAGGAAGGAAGATAACCATCTTGATGGGAGAGGAAGTTTTTCACACTGGTTTCGCAACTTGCCTTTTAGAAAAGGGGAAGGTCGGCACTGAACCCAGAAACCGCGCGCGCTGACCTCCACTCACAGCCACTGACACACTGCCCAACCTCGGCCTTGTGTTCGCCAATAACTGTCTGCTCACCTCAGCCCTGCACGATTTGCCCTGAAATCTGACGGCAGCAGACTTCCCTTCTCTCTCAAACCTGCCTGCGGTTCACCACAGCCCTCCCGCCCGTATCACAATCCCTTTGCTATTACCAAATAAGCTCATTTTGCTAGTAAGATGACTGGCTCTTTTATTTTTAAGAGTGACAAGCACACTCCCAATATTCAAATTTGGTTCCTTACAGTCCTTCCCTGCCGCTCAGGGCTGGTCTTTTTAATTATGTTAATTGTGCTTTCTTTTTAATTAAAAAAAATTTTTTTAATTTATTTCTGAGAGAGAGAGAGCATGAGCGGGGGAGGAGCAGAGAGAGAGGGAGACACAGATTCTGAAACAGGCTCCGGGCCCTGAGCTGTCAGCACAGAGCACGACGCGGGGCTCGAACCCACTAACCCTGAGATCATGACCTAAGCCAAAGCCGGACGCTCAACCGACTGAGCCACCCAGGTGCCCCAATCGTGCTTTTTTTTTTTTTTTTTTTTTTTTTTTTGGTGTTATGGGTCCATCTGACACGCTGACTCAGTCAGTCAGCCTCAGTCAGTAAGCCCGGTTGTTCTTTTTAAAGTCCCTTCCACTGCTGCCATTCCATGGGGTCCACTGATGGCACGGCCTCCATCCAACCCCTCCAATCCTGCCAGGGCGTGGGCGCGGGGCGGGGTCCTTCCCGGCCTCGGCCTCTCCCCACTGGAGTGCTGGGGAGCCGCAGAGTCCAGCACACAGGGCAGGCGCACACACGGTGTGGCTTTCCCCAGCGTCAGCTTCCTTCAGTCCTAAATCGGGTTCAGGATTCCAAACTCAGTGACATTCTACCGCGTGATTAACTTGGCCTCCTACGCAGCACACAGAGCAGAACATGAGATAAGTGACACAACAAACAGATAACACGGGGGGTGGGAAGTCAGTCTGTCGGCGTGAAGCTGAGACCCAGCCACAGTCGATCCGGATCAGCTCTCGGCACCCACTGCATGCATATTACGATCAAGCTGCAGAGGGTCTCCGATCCGTTCGGAGATCCATCAGGCAGACCCTTTGCAGTGAACTCACATAGCGGGGTCATGTCTGAAGAGCCTGACAGCTTGCTGCAAAAATCATTCCCTTTTTAGGGGCGCCTGGGGGGATCAGTCGGTTAAGCGGCTGACTTCAGCTCAGGTCATGATGTCATGTCCATGGGTTCAGCCCCGCTTCGGGTTGTGCTGACAGCTCAGAGCCTGGAGCTGCTTCAGATCCTGTGTCTCCCTCTCTCTCTGACCCTCCCCAGTGCACTCTCTGTTTCTTGAAAATAAAGACATAAAAAAAGAAAAGGTATGGTCTCTGCTTAAGGGGAGACTGTAAGCGCGTGCGCGCGCGCGCGCGCGCGCACACACACACACACACACACACACACACACTCCTGTGCTGTTTCACCATCTGAACCAAGCGTGGCATTTCCTTCTCTGTCCCCTTTCTCCTCGGGCTGCCCCCAGTCTCTCCTCCTGGGGGCCCTGGGTCTCCCCCCACCCCAAATCTTTGGGAAGCGGAGTGATCTGCTTCTTTGTGTGAGTGCAGGTCTGGTCCTGTGAAAATCCTGCTCCTCTGCGTCCTTTTAAAGGAGACTGTGGGTGTGTTGCTTGAAGCTGAAAGATCCCCCTCCGCTGGAGTGCTGAGGCCCGGGTGCCACCCCTCCCCCACCCCGCCTTAGGCCCCCAGAGGGCAGAGCTACAGAGACCAGGGGAAAGATTTAAAAACAAATAAACAACCGTTGTGCCCCTGGCGCCTGGAGCCAGTACCCAAGTCTTACTGCCAACCTGCAGCGCCAGTGACACAAAGGCGCTGTGTCTGGGCAGGTTCTGGGGACAGGAATCCATCCCAGCTGCCAAGGGACCCACCCCGCCTGCCCCGCAGCTCGGGAAGTCACGTGGGCTGGTAATCGGAAACAGAGCAACAAAGCAAAGCAACAGAATCCCTTGTTTTTAATGATAAAATTCTGTTTTTCCCCAAGGACATCCCCCTGTCCTAGTGCTTAGAACCTTTTTGGATTTGAATTTAGGAATTTTAGTTCAACTTCTTTGAGGCTTCACTTACTGAGAGAAAGGCTTAATTCCCAAATGAGAATTTCTCCTGAACACTGGATATTAGAAAATTTTACATTCAAACTTGGGCATTTTGAATGCTGTTCTAGAATCTGAGCTTCTTTATGCTGAGTTGAGGTCTACACTGGGCGTGAAGCCTACTTAAAAAAATAAATAAACAAATAAATAAAAACTAACATTGTAACTTCTGTTTCAATGCCTTGGTTAATGACCAGAGGAAACATTTTCTAAAGGCCTGAGATACAAGGAAAGCCATTTCCAATCTATAAGTCAGCCATGGCTGTCCGTAAACTTTGTTCAGACCCAAAGCCTGATTTTGTTATACCCAGACTGCAGTATCCTCAACGACCAGAGACCACCGGGGAGACCGAGTCACGGATGCAAAGGCAAAGGGCTTTATTACGGGCTCGAGCTCGGGCTCTCAGACTTTACCATCGCAGTGGATCCTTTCTGTGAGCCCCGAACAAAGGCAGAGTAGGGTTTTTATGGGGTTTGTGATGGGGGAGTTACAGAAATTGTGGCATGGAAACAGTGATCCAATCATAATTATACAACATTATTGACAGCGGGTTTAACCATACATGTTATCCAGAGTATCTGTTACTTTTGGCAGGATCCAATTACAACATTCAGGATACCCTTAAATTCAACCGTCCATAGAGCGAGCCTAGAGTCTCTTTCGGGGACTAGGTTAACTTTTACATTAGGCAGCTGAGATTTATGTATAGTTGCTGGCCTTTCTTGATCGGGCGTTGCCAAGGTAGTGTGGTGGAGTGAAGTGGTGGGCAGTTTCTTCGGCCTTGGGCAATGTGTAGCTGCCTGATAGTTTCAGGGAAACTGAAACTTAGGCCTTCAAGTTTAGAGGGGAAACTTAAAGCCTGTTATGGAGTCAGTCTGGTTTAGACTTGTGTCCTTACAACTTAAGGCCCGCCGCACATGCATCATACACCCGCTTTGGGAATGAGCAACGTACAGGAAAGCCACCTTGCCCTTACTGAGGTTTTTTTGGTGGATGGTGGAGTTCGTGGGGCCTGGAGCCAATGGCCAAGAAAGAATTCTTGAAAAATTATTTGGTGCAAAAAGGTGATTTTATTGAAGTATGGGGACAGGACCTGTGGGCAGGAAGAGCTGCCCCAGGACCCTGAGAGACTGGTTTATATTTGGGAGTTGGGGGAGGTAAAGTGCAGGGGAAGTTTCCAGTGAGATTTTCATATGCTAGATCCTGGAGGCCTAACTGTCGTCAGGCTAAGGCTGTTGGTCCCCCAGCAAATCATTAGCATGAAGACAGTAGGGAGCTCCCTGGAGGGACGTTTCACTCTGCCGCCTTGAGCATTTGTCCATGGGCTGCAGGTTCTAAGGACATTTAGTTCTACCGGCCATTTCCTTCTGCCTTTGCTCCCACATCACTTGAGGCAGTGACCTCCTGCTTCCTGTAATTCTTGATGTTCTAACCGTGATTCCTGCCTGGACGAAGACCTGCCATTTTCTGAACTTGTACACGGTGTTAAAACAGTATATAATCCTGTAAAAACTGCTCCTTCTCCAGAGCATTTTTTGCCCTGTGAAGGCATGCTTCCCGGGCAGCCGTCCTAACCCCCGCTGGAGTAAAACTCTTTCCCGTCGGAGATGCTAAAAGGCTTGTGCACTTTGCATCAGCAGTAATGTGGTGAACAGTAACTTGGAGGGGAATGGCAGGAAGGGACCTGGGGCCCAGAATACAATGCAGCGTTGATCTAAGGAGCAGACATCTGTTGGCCCAGTCGGAGGGTTAGGAAGCAAAGGCTCCACCAGCAGCAAGAACCATCCGTTCACTTCCCCCAGCAAGAGCGGCAGCCAGATGTCGCCCACAGAGGGTCTGCAGAGGGCCAGGCCTCACCCGCGCAAAGGAGGGTTCCCAGAGAGGAGGCTTGGATAGAGGGGACCGGACATTTCTCTGCTGGACGCAGCCTCTGCCCCAGCAGAGACGTTAGGGCGATTATACTGGACCAGGATGAACTCCGCCTCCGCGCCAGGCAGCTGCACCGTCTCCATCCTCCAAGCATGTTTAGGAGGGTTTCCAAGAAAGGGCCGTCTGGAACTGGGGGACAAGCCCCGGGGCAATGCCATCGGGGCTCCCCCACCCCCACCCCACCCCGCTAGAGACTCGAGGTCCTCGACCCAAGTCTCCCTCCACACACAGGTCTAGGGACCCGCCTCCACCCCACCAGGCATCTCAAGCAAGGAGGGTGGGGTTCAGGACAAGTTTGCGGGAGCCGCCCTCCTGCTGGGGGGACTTAAGGAAGAGTCTCCCCACGGCTCAGACCTGAGGGAAATGCCTGGGGCCCCAGTCCCTGCACCTGCCTCCCAGCACCGCCCTCCCCCCACCCCGCCGTGTCTCAAGCTTTCGGCGTCTCCCACAAAAGGCTCTGCGGACAGCAGGGCTCATCTGACCCCACACTTAGTGTCGCAGCCCCGCGCGGCCCCGCGGGACCTGGGGCTCCCGGAGGGGGGGGAGTTCGCACGCGGTCACCGGGTTCCGACGTGACAACAGCGCCCCCAGCCCAGTCCCCGCGGCCTGACCTGGCCCTGCGCCCCCAGTCCGTGCCCCTTTTCCGTCCTCCGCCCCCTCCTGCGGTCTGGAGGGTCGGGATGGCAGCCCACCGGGGCTCCCCAGGAACCCTCCGGATAACCTCACCTCAGGCGGCCGCCCCCGGGCACAGGGTCTCCCCCCGAGCGCGGCGCCCCGGCCCCGGGTGCGCCGGGAAGCGTGCGGCCCGCGCCCACACACCGCTGGAGCCGCCCGCTCGGACTGTTCGGGGCTCCTCTGCTGCCCGCCGGGCACCCACCGGCACCCTCGTCAAGAGCCGCGCACGGACCTGCGACGCCGCCTGGTGGCGCCTCCGGGGGCAGGGAGCGCGCGGAGAGAAGAGCCCGTCCCCAGGTCGCTGCCCTCCGCCCCTCGGCCCCGCAGGCGCTCGGGGACCCCAGGGGCTGCGGCGCTGCCTTAACCCGAATTCTGGTCCTGACTGGTCCCTATCCATTTCTGATTGGACAAGAGCTCAAATGAAGAAGCTCTTTAACCAAGGGGGTGGGGGGCGGACTCCGCTGTCAGGGTTGTGCTGTAACCGGAAGCTGAGGGGTCAGCCCGGGGCGGACGACGCCGACGCGCAGGTGGGGGGGGGGGGGGCCTGAAGAAAACAGTAAGTCCCAAGGGAAATTTTTAAAATAACTTGAGCTAAATTAAAAGCTAAACACAACTTCCCAAAGTGTGGTGGTACGCAGCAGTGCTTGGAGAGAAACCAAGAGAATTAAAAGCGAATGAGAAAGACAGACAGACCTCTGGGCACCTGGGTCAGCTGAGCATCTGACTTCGCTCAGGTCTCGATCTAACAGTTGGTGAGTTCCAGCCCCGGCCCCGCGCTCTGTGCTGACCACTTGGAGCCTGGAACCTGCTTCAGATTCTGTGTCATCCGTCTCCCTCGATGCCCCTCCTTCTCCTCTCAAAAATAAAAAATTAATTTTTTTTTTAAATAATGAAAAGGAAGGGAAGAAAGACCTAAAGTCAATAATCTGAACTTCAGTTTTAGGAAACTAGAGAAAGAGGCAAAGAGGCCTAAAGCAAGCAGAAGAAAAGAAATAATAAAAGAGCAGAAATCAATGAAATTGAAACCAGCAAGCAAGAGGGGAAAAAAAATGAAACCAAAAGCTGGTTATGTGGGGGACAAAGTCAATAAAGTTGATAAACTGCTAGCCAGGCTAATAAAAACTGAAAAGAGAAAACAGAGATTACTACAATTAGAAATGGAAAATTATTAAAGGGATGATAAAGGGATACTATGAACAACTCTATGTTCACAAATTTGATAATTTAGATTAAATGGACCAATTCCTTGAAAGACACAGGCCACCAAAACCCACATAAGGGGAAATAGGTAAACTAAATAGGTCTATGTTTATGAGTACAATGAATCAACAATTAATAATATTCCAAACAAGAAAGTACCAGGCACAGATGGCTTCACTGGTGATCTGTACCAAATATTTAAAGTGAAAAAAAAATGATACCAATTCTCTGCAGTCTTCTCCAGAAAGTGGAAACAGAAAGCATGCTTCTTAATTCATTCTGAGGCAGCATGACCCTGATAAGACCATAGCCAAGTAGCCATAAAAAGAAAAGAAAATTGCAGAACAAATATCTCTCATGAGCATAAAAGCAAAAATCGTCAACAAAATATGAGGAACTCCAATCCAACGATGAGTTACACGGCACAAAAGAAGTCATTCTAGTAACCAAGTGGAGATTTATTCTAGGTGTGTGAGGCTGTTTCAGTATTTTAAAAACCAACTAATATAATCTATCACATATACAGGCTAAGGTAGAAAAATAACATGATCTTATCAATTGATGTTGAAAAAGCATTTTAATCAAATTCATGATTAGAACTCTCAACTAACTAGGAATAGAGGGGATTTATTCAACTTGGTTAAAGACCATCTACCAAAAAATGTACAGTTAACACATTTATTAATTGTAAGGAACTAGACGCTTTCTCCTTAAAATCAGGAACAAGGCAAGGATGTCCCTTCTCACCAGGGCCACTGAATATCATACTGGGAATCTACGATATGGAATAAAACAAGAAAAGTAAATAAAATATGTACAGATTGGGAAGGAAAAAATAAAACTATCTTTGTTCACAGATGACATAACTGTTTATGCAGAAAACCTGAAGAATTAACAACAACAACAACAACAACAAGATTTCTGGAACTAATATCAATTGCTGTGAGGTTGCAGGATACAAAGTTAATATACAAAAGTCAATTGCTTTCCTATATATCAGCAATGAGCTATGGAAATCTGACATTTAAAGCACAGTAACATTAAGAAACCTGGATGGCTCAGTCGGTTGAGCACTGACTCTTGATTTCAGCTCAGGTCATGATCCCAGGGTCTTCAGATAGAGCCCCAAGTAGGGCTCTGGGCTGAGCGTGGAGCCTGCTTAGGATTCTCTCTCTATCCCTCTGCCCTTCTTCCCTGCTTGCTCTCTTTCTCTCTCCCTAAAATAATGAATGAATGAATGAATGAATGAATGAATGAATAAAGCACAATACCATTTACATTAGCACTGAAAAATGAAACATTTAGGTATAAATCTAATAAAATATGTACAAGACCTACGTGAGGAAAGCTACAAAATGATGATGAAAGAACTCAAAGTTCAACATAAATGGAGATTCCATGCTCATTGACAGGAACTCAGTATTTTTAAGATGTCATTTCCTCCCAGCTTGATCTATACATTCAATGTCATTCCAATTTAAATGCTAGCAAGTTATTTTGTAGATGTTGACAAAGTGACACTAAAGCTTATATGAAAAGTCAAACGCCAGGAATTGACATGCCATACTGAAAAGAGTAACAAGATTGGAGGACTGACAGTATATGACTTCCTAGAAACCTACAGTAATCAAGACAGCCTGGTGTTGGGGAGCCTGGGTGGCTCAGTCTGTTGAGCATCGACTTTGGCTCAGGTCATGATCTCACAGTTCGTGGGTTCGAGCCCTGCGTCGGTCTCTGTGCTGACAGCTCAGAGCTTGGACCCTGTTTCAGATTCTGTGTCTCCCTCTCTCTCTGCTCCTCCCCTGCTCATGCTCGCGCTCTCTCTCTCTCTCTCTCTCAGAAATAAATAAAAACATTTAAAAAAAAAAGACAACTTGAAATAGAACCATACAAATATAGAACTTTGACAAAGGAACAAAGGCAACACAAGGGAGAAAGATAGTCTTTCTGACAAATGGTGGTGGTAAAAATGAACATCCATAAGCAAAACAATGAATCTAGACACAGACTAAAATTAGTTAAAATATTGGTCATAGACTTAAATACAAATTGTAAAGAAGTCTTAAACTTCCAGGGGATAACATAGGAGAAAATCTAAGTCAGCTAGGATTTGGCAATGATTTTTTAAATAAGCAAATCCATGACTGAAAAAACTGTTAAGCTGGACTTCATTAAAATTTTAAAATTTTAAATATACTAGTAAGACAGTGAAAAGGACAAGCCAGGGATTAGAAGAAAGTATTCCTAAAACATATATCAAATTTAGGGCTGTATCTAAAATACACAAGGAACTCTCAAAAATCAACAAGAAAATTTAAAAATGGGAAAGAGATCTGGACACCTCACCAAATATGTATAGATGGCAAATAAAAATGTGAAAAGATACTCAGCATCATATATCATTAGGGAGTTACAAATTAAAATAATAAGATATCAATATAATGACTAAAATCCAGGAAACTAACAACACCAAACGCTGACAAGGATGTGGAACAACAGACGTCTCATTCATTGCTGGAGGGAATGCAGATTGATGCAGCCATGTTAGAAGACATTTGGCAGTTTCTTCAAAGCTCTACATGGTCTTTGTAAAGATTTTTTCTTTCTTTTTCTTCATTTCTTTCTTTCTTTCTTTCTTTCTTTCTTTCTTTCTTTCTTTCTTTCTTTCTTTCTTTCTTGTGTGTGAGACAGAGAGAGAGAGAGAGAGAGAGAGAATCTTAAGCAGGCTCCACGCTCAGTGCGGAGCCAGACTCGGGGCTCAATCTGATGACCCTGGGATCATGACCTGAGCTGAAATCGAGTTGGAAACTTAACCAACTGAGCCACCCAGGCACCCCTCAAACATAGTCTTGCTATATGATCCAGTAATTACACTCCCAGGTATTTATCTAATTGAGTTAAAAACTATGTCCACACAAAAACCTGCACAGAAATGTCTATAGCAGCTTTATTCCTGATGGCCAAAAACTGGGGGCAAAGAACGATCAAGATGTCTTTCAAAGGTGAATGGCTAAACTGTGGTACATTCATACAATGGGATATTATTCAGAGATTAAAAAGAAAGTAGTTACCAAAACACAAAAAGACATAGATGAACCATAAATGCACATGGCCAAGTGAGAGAAGTCAGTTAGAAAAGGCTATAGTGTATGATTCCAACTATATGACATTCTGAGAAGGGGAAAAGTAAGGAGACGGTAAGAAGATCAGTGTCTGGGGCACCTGGGTGATTCAGTCGGCTGAGCGTCTGACTTCAGCTCAGATCATGATCTTACTGCTTACGGGTTTGAGCCCCACATCGGGCTCTGTGTTAACAGCTCAGAGCCTGGAGCCTGCTTCAGATTCTGTGTTTCCCTCTGTCTCTACCCCTGCCCCACTCGCACTCTCTCTCTCTCAAAAATGAATAAATATCGAAAAAATAATAAAAACAATAAAAGAAGATCAGTGTCTTCCAGGGGCACAGAGTGGGGCAGATGCGATGAATGGGGGGGGGAGCACACGATGCAGAGGGCGTTGACACTGTTCTGTACATGATGCTGTAATGGTAGATTTGTCAATGTGCACGGGACACAACATAAAGAGTAAACCTAATGTTTGAAAATGAAGGGAAATAATTTTGGACGTTGGGGATCCCAGGAAGGGTTGCCGACACTGTTACAGACGTGTGAAGCGCCCTCACCGAAGGGGCAGGAGTGTCAGACTTGGGGCAGAGTACCTGCACACGAGCCCTGGGCTCTAGTTGACCAAGCTGTTCCCCACGCGCTGGAATAGAGCGACTAAGTACATGGCTAGCGGGTGGCGGGAAGCCGGTGTTGTGTCACCGCTGAGGGGGAGGTTACAGGTGACCGAGGGGAGGATGGGCCACGGGATAACGGATGGTAGTGGGAGACGTCAGTTTAGCTTAGTGTAGGCACAGTTGGCGGCACAGAGAAATATTAAGAGGGTCACGTATATGCAACTGGTAAACCCATGTACTTCTTTGCCTTGTCTGCTGAGGGGCCACAAAGAAACAATACTCCAGCAATACTAACTCAGCTATATCCCAGATCTTGGTTCCTATGACCATTCTCTACTATGCTATGTTTAAAATACACAGGCTGAAATGTTTCAGTGAGCATGCAGATGATTTAACGGTGGAAGGTGAGCTGGAGGAGGGAAGGGGCAAGAATGAGATGTGGCAGGTGAGAAGGTTTGAAGGTGGGGGCGCTGTCCACAGGGTGGGCGACAGAGAGCCAGCTTGATCCTGTGCCCCAACATTAAACTAAAAGAACAGAAGGACAGTGTGCCTGTTATACCAAAGCTGCAACTTCCCACAAAACGTGTCCAGGGTGAGGTGGGGCCCATGTACCCTCCGCTCAAACCTGGGTGGCCTGTGACAGCATGTGGCAGAACTAGTGGGTGGTGACCCATCAGGCGTTTTGCCCCCTTAGCTGGAGCCCAGGGGCCACCTCCTGGAAGTGACCACATCCAGATGCTCTGGTTAACGGGGCTGGCTTAGCTCAGCCATGTCTGTCAAGGCACCAACACCAAGGCGCAGCCCTCTCCCGATGACTGCAGCCATTACAGTCACCCCAGCCCTTCCCATCTTCCCATCACATCGCAAAGCAGAGAAAAGCCGTCCCACGGGCCCTGTGTCTGAATTCCTGACCCACAGAATCTGCGAACACAGTAACGAGATCTTGTTTCACATCACTCATGGTGGGGGGGTTAGTTACACAGCAACAAAAAACTGGAACAGTTAGAGGAAGGGATAAAGGGAAAGGGTCAGGCCTGCGGCAGGGCAGAGGGAGGGTCAGAGTGGCACAGGCAAGAACGTGAGCTGAGTGGGGCAACGTTCACCATCAGCTGCGTGGGAGCCACACGCAGACGCCAGCACTCAAGTCCGCAGTGCACGTGGAAGACCTGCACTGTGCACCTCTCCTAACCCGTCCAGCGCGTCCTGCCCATTTGCCGAGCGACTTCTCTCCATCTTTTTTTTTTTTTATTATTATTTCTAGGAGAGAGAGAGAGAGACAGCGTGAGCAGGGGAGGGTCAGAGAGAGAGGGAGTCACAGACTGAAACAGGCTCCAGGCTCTGAGCTGGCAGTCAGCACAGAGCCCTACGCGGGGCTCGAACCCACGAACCGCGAGATCATGACCTAAGCGAAAGTCGGACGCTTAACCGACTAAGCCACCCAGGCGCCCCGAGACTTCTCTCCATCTTCATCCTGCCTTCAGTGGAAGCCCCCACCCGGCGCCTCTGCCGTCCACACACCTGGCAGCCCGGGCAGACCCTGGTGCTCCAGGAGGAAGCCATGTGCTTCTGAGACCCTCCTTGGCCTCACTTCCATGGCAAGGCCCACACGCCCACTCCGGCCCCTCACCCACCATCATCACCGACCACCCGAGTCTCTCTCCCAAACCTCCTCTTCTTTTCCTCCACTTTGAGCCCCATTCCTTCTGGTTGCATTGTTTTCTAGGGGGCTGGCTCCACAAGACCAGGCTGCATCCCATCCTCCAGCGTTTCCCCACATTCCCCTGGTGTACCCCAGTTCCTGCCCCTGAGTCCTCTGTTGCCTGTGTCTCACTGTCCCCCCAACCCATAGACCCTGTGCCTTCCACTGCCTCCATCGCTACGCCCCCGTGTAACCGTGTCCACATCCCCCAGGCCTCTGCGTCTCCACTACCCCACACCTCCACATTTCCCGCGTCCCCCTGGCTCTGCAGCCTCTGTCCCTCAAGCAACCCGAGTCTCCGGCCCTCAGCTTCTCCTGCCCCTTCCCCACCCACCAATACCCCTGCTCCCGTCCTCTGCACCTCCGCACCCCCATGGCCCTGCATCCCGTGTCCTCCGCACCACACTGTCCCTTGGACACCGCCTGACCTCTGTCCCGTGTCCCCGCGCCCTTCGCACCCCCATGCCCTCATTCCCGTCCCCCACACCGCCCCGTCCTCCGTGAACCCCCGGCCCCCGGCCCTAGGCCCCCACACCTCCTAGTGCCCCGCAACCCGCGTCCGGGTCCCCGCGCCCCCGAGCAGCGCGGGCCGGCGCGCCCAGGTGGATGCGCGCGCGTTGCGTGGAGACGAGCGGCGGGCACACCCTAACCCGCCGGCCCCGCCTCCCGCGCCGCGGATTGGCTCCCCGCGGGCTGGCCGGGCCCGGGTTGGCTCGCGCCGCGCGGCGGCCGGGCCCGTTTCACGGTGGGTAGCACCGCAGCGTGGATGCTGCTCGGTCCCGCCGCGGCCCCCAGGAGCGTGGAGCCCGAGCGGCCGGGCGGGGCCGGGCGGGGGCACCGCCGGGAGCCGCTCCGCCGCCCACCCCGGGCCCGCGGCCGGAGGGCCAGCCTGGGGTCGCGGCCGCACCGTGTGGCCGCGGGCGGCGGACAAAGGGCCATGCGGGGCCGGGGGACGCGGCGTGGGGCGCGCGGGAACCGGGGGCCGCAGCGGTGCCGCTGAACACGGCCCGAGGCGGGGCGGGGCCGGGCGCGATGCCGTGGTTCCCGGTGAAGAAGATCCGCAAACAGATCAAGCTGCTGCTCCTGCTGGTGCTGCTCACCTGCGCCGCGTGGCTCACGTACGTGCACCTGAACCTGGTGCGCCAGGGCCGCGCGCTGCGCCAGCGGCTGGGCTACGGGCGAGGTACGGGAGGGGGCGCGAGCCCTGGGGCTGGGGTGGGGGTGGTGAGGACCCCGAGAAGCGCGAGTACTGGGCCTTCTCACCGCGCCCGGAGACCCCGGCCGCCCTTCCCAGTTCTGCTATATTTGGGCAGGGGGCGCGGTTCGGCCCGGCCCGGAGCCCAATGACGTCAGCAGTGACGTGCGCGACCCTCTTGGGGAGCGTCCCCGAACCTGGGCCGACTCCGGGATCTGACCTGGAGCCAGAAGGGACGGGGTTAACAGAGAGATCGCCCCCAGGCCCTGCAGCTGGGGTTTTCAAGGCCTTGCACCTCCACCACTGTCTCCTGAGCAGAGCCTCAGTTTACCCATCTGCTGAGGAAAAAGGGAGAGATGGGGTGGGGTGGGGGAGGATCTGGAGGGAGCTGACTGGTGCTGTGGAACGCTTCCTGGAGGGGGTGCCCTAGGTAACCCTGTAACCAGGGACTGACAGGCTTTCGTGTTGGGAGGTGGGGGTGGGGAAGCATAGTGATGGGGATCCAGCCTGGGGCCCCCTGAACTGCCTGGAGTAAACTTTTCCAGGCTCCTCCAGCTCACACTCTAGTGAGGACAATGAACCCACAAAGCAAATCAGGTCCTGGTGAGTGTTGTGCGGAAGAGCCAGGGCAGGGGATGTGGATGGCCTCTCGAAGGTGGTGGCTGCTGACACACGTCTGGAGGGAGTGTGCCTGGCAGGAGGGATGAGACTCTGACAGCCTGGTGGGAAGGGGAGAGCCAGGGAGCCTGGAGCCTGGGGGAGGGTATGGGAGAAACAGAAGCACCTCAGGGCAGGAGTAACCCCCCCCCTCCCCAAAACACACACCTACCCAAACCTCCCAGCAGAGGCCAGAGTGGAAGCCTCTGCCCAGGGCGGGGGAGCTCCCAGCCAGGCTACCACTGCCTCTTCTTAAGGAAGACCTCCTTAGGGTGGGAGGTCAGGGGCGAGGGTCCTGCTTCCTAACCCCCCTTCCTAACAATGACTTTGGCTCACCGCACCCAGGGCCACCCTGTTGAGTCCCACTCCTGCCTCCCCTCCATGTGCCTGGGTACCTGGCTCCACAGACCTCCCAGGCCAGGGGTCTGGAGCTTGTCCCAACCCCCCAGAGTCTACACCCCTCACAGCCACCACACCCATGAGGGGCCCCCAGCACTGCTCAGTCCCTAAAAGAAGCCCCCCTCCCCCCAGCTGTCAGCAAATAAGGCAGGACCCTGGAGCGTGACCAGTGACACAGAAGAAAACCAACCTCCCATTCCCAGGCACCTCTGTGGCTTTCCGAGCAACCACAGTCCTCACCAACTTGACTTCCTGAGTAGCTGGGGAGTCTAGCTCAGCAACTGGGAGGGGGTGGAAGTGTGGGAACCCCATTTCTGAGGCCCTCTCCGCTCTCAGCTGGCCCAGCAGAGGAGCTGGGAGTCTCACCAGACTCCTGGGTGAGCAGGAGCTGTTCAGGGTCCTGGAAGGTCATACTCTCATGGGGCACCCTCCGGGAACAGCCCCAGCCCACCAGTCTTGGCTCTGGGCTGCAGTCCCACCTTCTGTCCAGCCACCTGGGTTCCCACCAGGGAAAGGCTTTTGAAAATCTGAGCAGCTGGACACACCTGAGGCCTTTTTTGACTCTTGGGTCAGTGCTGTCTTCACTTCCAACTGGGGTAGGATGAGGGGGGCGGGGGGACTGGCACGTGGCCCTGCAGGATACCTATGTGGCAGAAGGCCTCTAGAGACCTCAGTGTGCTAGACAGTGGTGGCAGCCTGGGCTGGGACCCCACCACAGAAGGCTCCTGGTACCCATGGACTTAGCTTGGTGGGCAGGGAACATCAGGGCCGGGCTGGGGGGCTTTGGCCAGGAGCCTCTTAGGGGCTCATCTCTCAGCTGGGCAGAGGACAGTGGAGGAGGAACCCAGAAGAAAGAGCAGGTGGGCAGGTACCACAGGGGTCCTACAGGCAGGAGACTAAGGTCAGATCCCCTCCCCTGGAGAAGGGACTCAAGCGATTTGTGTCCACACATGAATCTGTGGGTCTGGGTTGAAGGATGGGCATGGCTGTCGAAACTTAGGCATGTCCTGGAGCAGAGGGGGTGCTCCTGGATTGGGTATCCCTGGATGGGAGAGAGCACCAGGAGGGGCAGAGGCGGGATATAATAAAGCCTCCCAGAAGAGCCTTGGGTCCCAGGGTGTGGCACCCACAGAGGACAGGGTGGAATGTTCAGGTCCACAGCTTAGGCAAGAAGCCTGGGAATTTGAGGGATCTAGGGGCATGGGGACAGTCTGCCCCCGGATAGAAGGTGTTTCTAAGGGTGCCAAGCTCTGGAGATCCCACAGACAGACCTAGGAAGGGTTCCTCAAAGGCACAGTCTCTCTCCGGAGCCACACTGGCCCCCAGACCCCCAGCAGCCAGACTACTGTGTCTGTTCCGTTCTGTCTGGTGCCAGGGCTCCTTTGGTCCTGAACCCCTGTCTCAAGGCCAGCAGGGGGCACATGTGCTGTGAGTGGGGGCTGGTTTAGCCTTAGGACGAAAGCACCAGCCTTGCAATAACAAGCTCCAGCACTAACCCATAGCACTCAGTTCTGATGAGGGAGGGAGACAGAACCCTCAGGACGAGGGAAATCGCTGAGGGCGCAGTAGTCCTGGGGGCCTTCCTGCAGGCGGAGCCGCTGGTGAGGATGATCAGATAAGTGTGTGTGCATATACATTAGCATGTGCATGCACGTAACTCTGCTCCCTGGCACCAGTCAGGGGCTAGGAAAAGCCCGGTGGAGGGCTTGGGGGGCGGGGGGCTGCCCACTCCAGAGGTGGGACGTGGAAGAAGGGCCCAGAGAGCAATTGCACGGCCACAGGTGGGGCGCTGGGCAGGGCAGGGAGCAGCCTGAAGTGGAGAGGCTTCAGCAGGAGACACCACTGACCCCACCTGACCCACAGCAGCAGGGGCTGTGCCTTGGAGAGAGCCTGGGCCCCAGTCATGCCCCACATGCCGCCCACAGATGGTGAGAAGCTGAGCGGTGTGACAGAGGGCAGGGGCGTCCGGGCTGCGCTGTCCACACAGAGGGCAGAGGACTCCAGCGAGAGTCGTGAGGAGGAGCAGGTGGTGAGCAGGGCTGTGCGAAAGAACGCATGTGTGCAGCGCACACACTCATGTCCACACAGTGACCTCGGGGCGTGTGGGCTGCGTGGATGGATGCGGGTACAGGCACCCGGCATGGCCCAGTTACAGTTCACGTCCAGACGGGTATGGGTGTGCACGTGTGTGCTGGCCAGTGCCTGCCTGGGCAGGTGCGGTGAGGGTCCTCTGGGTGTGTGTGGTTGTGGCACAATGGATTCGGGGTTTTTTGGCTGGATGTGTGCAAGGGAGTCCTTGTGAGGTTGTGTCCCGGTGTGTGTGGGTGTGTGACCCCTCCCTGTCTTCCCATTGCTCCGCTTTGATCCTGGTGCCCTTTCTGTCCTGTAGCCGGAAGGACAGGACCCAAACATGCTGTTTCCTGTGGGGGCTGGAAAGCCACCCCCTCTGAACCTCACCCATCAGGTGCCCCCGTGGTGGGAAGAGGTGAGCTTTGCTCCGCTGTGATGGGCTTCAGGGGAGTGCTGGGGTTAGGGCTGTGCAGAAGGTAAGGCCCCCCTCCCACCCCCAGTACAAGGGCCAGGTGAACCTGCATGTGTTTGAGGACTGGTGTGGAGGCGCCGTGGGCCATCTGAGGAGGAACCTGCACTTCCCGCTGTTCCCGCACGTGAGTGCCGGGGCCGGGGCGGGGGCGGGGGCTGGACAGGGCAGGGCTGGCCCCTCAATGTGGAAAGGCTTTGACGTCAGAGGCCACTGCCCCCCACCAGACTCGCACCACCGTGAAGAAGTTGGCTGTGTCCCCCAAGTGGAAGAACTATGGACTACGGATTTTCGGCTTCATCCACCCAGCCAGAGATGGTGCGGGGGTGGGGATGTGCCAGGGAGGGGGCAGCATGAAGGGCCCACACCCCTCCCCTGAGCCCCTGTCCTGTGGCCTAGGAGATGTCCAGTTCTCTGTGGCTTCGGATGACAACTCTGAGTTCTGGCTGAGCCCAAATGAGAGCCCGGCGGGTGCCCAGCTGGTGGCCTTTGTGGGCAAGGTACCCTTAACCCCACAGCCCTCCCACCCCAGCCCCTCCACCCACACCCCCATCTGTCTTCACTGGGCCGCCTCCGCCTCCGTCACCTGTCTCCTCCAGCTTCTGAGGGACGGGGACTGGATGAGGCTGGTGCCCCCAAGGAGAGAGTGAACCCCCCCACCCTTCTGTATCACTTCCCAGACTGGCTCAGAGTGGACGGCACCTGGGGAATTCACCAAGTTCAGCTCACAGGTGTCCAAGCCCAAGCGGTGAGTGACTAGGAGTGTGTGTGCACAAGTGTGTATGGGAGGGGTAGGGAGACCTGCACTAGCACACAGGAAACCACGCACCTGTACTGTCCCGGCCACAGTGCCATCCCCCTTGAGGGACCATCGCTGAGCACCCCACTTTTTCTGGGCTTTCTGTTTGGGGCTCCTGGCACGTCCCAGTGGTAGGGGCACGTCCCGCTGACTGCTTGTGTCCCCAGGCTCATGGCCTCCCGGAGGTACTACTTTGAGCTGCTGCACAAGCAGGATGACCGAGGCTCAGACCACGTGGAAGTGGGCGTGAGTGTGGCCTGCCATCCGTGGGCTTCTGGAGAATTCATGTCCCCTCCCCTGCCCTCTCTGCTCCCAACACTCCCTGCAGGACAATGGTGTGGACCCTGCCCCCCCATCCCAGGAGTTCCCATCTAGTTAGCAAAGCAGACGCTCAGGGACAGGGGTCCAAGGTCAACTCTGTCTGCTCAGGGAGGCTTCATGGAGGAAGTGGTGCTTGAGTACAGCCTTGAGAGATGAGACATTCATAGCGAGATCCAATGAGGAGAGAATTTGGGATGGGGGTGCATCAGGTAAACTCCAGATCTTGAGAACAGCAGAGGAATGGAACCATCCAGAGTTCTTCCAGAACTCCAGAGGTTCCGGGGCCAGGCCTGTGGGGCCAACCCTGGACAACTCTGGACAGCCCACAGCAATTGGGTTTGCATTTTAGGAAGCACCCTTTGACCCCTGCTGCAGAGGGCCTGGGGGAGGGATCTTTTATGCATGGTCCCTGAAGCAAGGAGGTGGGAAAGGAAGAAGTGGCAGGTGCATAAGATAGAGGGCCTGGACCTGGCTGGGTGAGGTAGGGCTGGGGGGCTGCGGGGCTGCGGGGCTGGGGGGCTGGGGCATGTGTGTGCTGTGAGTGCCAGGCATCAACCCAGCTCATCTGGCAGGGAGTCCAGGCTGGAGACGCAGGTTTGGGGTGACCTTGTGAAAGCCATGGGGTGCCAAGAAGACCCAGAATGAGCTAGGAAGGAAGAGGGACTGGAACAGCTCCCAGAAACCCCAACCTGAGGGAGGGAGGGACAGAAGCTGCAGAAGAGAAGGAGATTGAGAAGGAGAGGCCACAGAAATGGGGAAACAGGGAGGGTGAGGTCCTGTGAGGTGAGGGGTAGGGGCCTATGGAAGGCTACCTGTGACCACCAGGAGGGCAACGGCTGCAGCATGGAGGAGCCCATGGCAACACCATAAGCAGCAGGCAGGGAAGTGCTCAGGATGTCAAGAAAGGCGTGGAGGGAACATGGGGGGAGGGGCCTCCCATCCACCCTCCAAGCTGCTCCCTGTGCCCTTGAAGGGGCCGTCCCCACTCGTTCCCCATGCTCACATCAGAAAAGACCCATTCCTCTCCAGCTCCAGGACACAGAGCTTTGGCCCTGACCGCACTCTCCCTTCCCTAGTGGCGAGCCTTCCTGCCGGGACTGAAGTTTGAGGTCATAGGCTCTGCTCACATCTCCCTGTACACAGGTGTGGAGCCCAGTGCCTCTCTGGGGACGGGGGCGGGCTCCTGATCCTGGGTCTCTGGGATAGCCTCTGGATGTGGGTGGGGAGGAATGAGGAGTGGCCTTCGGGTACTCCTGAGGACCCCACACATTCCTCTCTCCCCAGATGAATCATCCCTGAAGATGGACCATGTGGCCCATGTCCCCCAGTCTCCAGCCAGCCACGTGGGGGGACGCCTGCCACAGGAGGAGCCCAGAGCTGACATGCTGCGCCCAGACCCCCGAGACACCTTCTTCCTCAGTAAGAGGGGACCGAGGGGGGTGGGCCGGGGCGGGCATACCCACCCTGCCACTCTGTGACCACCCTTCCCACAGCACCTCGGGTAGAGCCTTCGAGTCTGGAGAACGTGCTGGAGCCCTGCGCCTACGCCCCCACCTACGTCGTCAAGGACTTTCCCATTGCGAGATACCAGGGACTGCAGTTTGTAAGTGCCTTTCACCAGCACCTTCTCTGAGGCCTGGCCTCCCTCCCAGGGTCCCCTGAACCCTCTGCCCTGCCCGCAGGTGTACCTGTCCTTTGTCTACCCCAATGACCACACGCGCCTCACACACATGGAGACAGAAAACAAGTGCTTCTACCGCGAGTCACCGCTGTACTTGGAAAGGTAGGAGGGGCCGGCGGGGGGCGAGGGCGGGGCCTCTGCGGAGCGGGGGGGGGGGGGGGGGCCCCCTCTCTGATGCCCCGCACCGCCCCAGGTTTGGGTTCTATAAATACATGAAGATGGACAGGGAGGAGGGAGAGGAAGATGAGGAGGAAGAGGTGCAGCGCCGAGCCTTCCTCTTCCTCAACCCGGACGGTGAGTGCCCCCCAGCACCCCCCAGTCTGCGCGCACCTGGGCTGGCAGGCTTACCTGTGCTTCCTGCAGACTTCCTGGACGACGAGGACGAGGGCGAGCTGCTAGACAGCCTGGAGCCCACCGAGGCGTCCCCCCTGCAGAGCCGACTCTCTGCGGCCGCGCCCGGAGCCACGCCTACCCCGCCAGCACCTCCCAGCCCCCAAGACCTGCCCGCGCCCAGGCGCTCCCGGGCGCTGAGCTGGGCCAACCCTGCCGCGCGCCCCCTGCCCCTCTTCTTGGGCCGCGCCCTGCGCCCCCACGCTGCTGCCGCTGACCAGCCGCCCCCGAAAGTGTATGTGACGCGGGTGCGGCCGGGGCTGCGGGCGCCCCCGCGGGCCCTGCCGCCTCTCAGCCCACGCGGCCCCCCCTGGCCGCCCTTCCCCGGAGTCTTCCTCCGTCCCAGACCGCTTCCCCGGGTGCAGCTGCGGGCGCCCCCACGCCCGCCCCGGCCTCGGGGCCGCAGGACCGGTGGCTCCCAGGCCCCAGAGCCGAGGCCCCCAGCCTGGGCGCAGGCCACCCAGGGGAGCCGGGAGGGCCAGCCACGCATGCTGGGACGCAGGGCACCCACCGCGGCCTCCAACCTGTCGTCAGAAGCGCAGCCCGTGACCTCCTTCCTGAGCCTGTCCCAGGTGTCCAGGGTGCAGCTGCCTGGGGCGCGCGGGGAGGAAGAGGAGGCGGACGACGACCGCGCACGCGGCGAGGACGCGGACAGCGAGGAGGCCGCGGGAGCCCCCCCAGGCCGCTGGCGCGAGGACGCCATTGACTGGCAGCGCACGTTCAGCGTGGGCGCCGTGGACTTCGAGCTGCTGCGCTCCGACTGGAACGACCTGCGCTGCAACGTGTCGGGGAACCTGCAGCTGCCCGAGGCCGAGGCCGTGGACGTGGTAGCGCAGTACATGGAGCGGCTCAATGCTCGGCACGGCGGGTACGAGGGTGCGGGGGAGGGGAGCCCCCGGNCTGCCCGAGGCCGAGGCCGTGGACGTGGTAGCGCAGTACATGGAGCGGCTCAATGCTCGGCACGGCGGGTACGAGGGTGCGGGGGAGGGGAGCCCCGGGGGGGGGGGGGGGAGGGGGTCCTGGGGGGTGAGTGACTGCGGGAGGGGGCGGGGGGAGTGTGTGTGAGAGGGGAGGCCATGGCAAGGGGTGTGTGGGAAGGGGAGGGGGCGTGTAAGGGGGAGGGGAGGTCCTGGCCTCTGTGGTGTCTTCAGACCTTCCCAGGTTTAACAGGGCACTGGTCTGGGCACGGCACACGCACCCCCATAGGGAAGAGTTTTCTCTCCCTGCCTCTTCCCTGTGTCCTGGGGCCTCTTACTGTCCGAGGGACTTGTCCAGTGTTAAAGCCTCACCTCCTCACAGGCACCCAGGGCAGGCTTTCCTGTCCTGTGCCTCCAAACCCACCCTGTCCCCTTGGGCCTGAACCCAAGAATGAATCGGAGCCAGCCAGGCCCCTCCTCCAATTAGACACACACCCAGAGGTCAAGTGGAGAGTCCCGGGACCTTCCCTCCTCCTCAGGCGCAGGGCTGCTGGGTCTTCCAAGGGGTCTTCCTCTGACCCAGGGGAGCGCAGGGCTCCTGCCCCCTTGCTGCCTCTGCCCCCCACCAGGCCCCAGGAATCCAGGCCTGTCTCCACCTCACGTACACAAGTGGGGTGGAGAATGGGAGGCCCAAGGTGGCCCCAAAGGAGACACTGGTGAGTTCTGTGAACCTTGAAAGAGGAGCAGAACCGGCGCACAGACCACTGGTGGAGGCAGAGGCCCTGGGGCAGGGGGCGGGGACCTGGTGTGCAGAGAGCAGAGAAGGGGCCATTACGGGCCGTGAGCCACCTGCCCAGGACTCAGTTTTCCAGCCTACGATAGCAGGTTTTGAGCAGGACAGGGGTTTGACCTATTGAGGTTGAAGACAGGCCCGTCGCTGCCTTGGAGGGGAGTGGACGGGATGGGGAACCCATAGGGGCCATGACTGCCGCGCGTCTTCCAGGCAGTGATGAGACGGTGTGGAAACAGCAAGGATTTGATTCTGGGAGACTGAGTTCTTGGCCCCAAGCTTCCTGAGAGTAGGGCGTGGGTTGCCCCACGGACTGCGAGTGCAGATAGAGCCCGAGTGTCTGGGGCAGAAAGTTCCTGACACTCGGGGAGAGCACGGTGGGGATGGCCAGGGTTGAAGGGAGGAGTTGGGGCCCCTTGGGGGTCACACAGGTAGGCTCCCACGGTGAGGGGGCTGCAAAGGGAAGACATGCAGCGAGAGAAAGAGGCAACCTCAGTCAAGGGCAGGGCACCCTGTTGTCCCAGGATGAGAAGCCTCTGCTTGGTAACACGGTGGAGGACGGAAGACACCCAGCCGGGGAGCAAGGGGAAGGGCGGAAGAGGTGCAGGGTAGGCCCGGTGGCATCGTGCCCTGTGTCAGGTTAGCCCCGGGCTGGTGCCAGCAGAGGCACAGGGAGGCTTCTCTGAGGAGCCCTGGGGTGAGCAGGGGAGGAGTGCGGCAAGCTTGCGATTGGATGCCCCGTAACAAAGAGACAATGGGCCGGGACGCCTGCTCGCCCAGCACAGGGAACGTTGAAGGCAAGTTAGGCTCGGCCTAAGGTCCTAGGACGTCAGGGTAAGACAAGCGAATCGCGTCCTGTGGACCGTGGGAGGCGCCACCATGAAGACCCCTGGCTGTGTGAGTGGTGGCGAGACCACAGAGGCGGCTGCGCAGGGGGGACAGGCGGTGTGAGGGGTTGTGGCCGCCTGGGGGACAAGGGACTTCGGCCGCAGTCCTCTGAGGGGCCCCCTGGTGTCCGGGGCTGGGGGCGACCCGCAGGGCCGAGAGGTGGGGGCAGCGAAGCGGCTGCCGACCCAGCCCCGCCTCCCAGGCGCTACGCGCTTCTGCGCATCGTGAACGTGGAGAAGCGCCGCGACTCCGCGCGCGGCAGCCGTTTCCTGCTGGAGCTGGAGCTGCAGGAGCGCGGCGCTGGCCGCCGGCGGCTGTCCGAGTACGTCTTCCTGCGACTGCCCGGAGCCCACGCGGGAGACCCCGACTCGGACGCAGAGAGTCCGGAGCCCGCCCCGGCCGCCCCCACGCGCCCCGACGGCCGCCCCGAGCTGTGCCGGCCGCTGCGCCTGGCCTGGCGCCAGGACGTGATGGTACACTTCATCGTGCCAGGTGCGCGGGACTGGGAAGAGGGGGCGCCGCGGGCCGGGTACCGCAGAGTCGGGGCGGGGTGGGCTCAGCCGCACTGCCCTCCTCCAGTGAAGAACCAGGCGCGCTGGGTGGCGCAGTTCCTGGCAGACATGGCTGCGCTGCACGCGCGCACGGACGACTCGCGCTTCAGCGTCATCCTGGTGGACTTCGAGAGCGAGGACATGGACGTGGAGCGGGCCCTGCGCTCTGCGCGGCTGCCCCGGTAACAGCCCTCCACTCCCACCAGGGGGGACTGAGCGTACTTGTGTCCCCGGGGGTGTGGGTTTTCCAGCCCCTGCCCGCGGGGATGAGTGCCTGTGACTTCCCACCCCTCTGCTCTCCGTCACCCCCCCCCTCCCCCCAGGTACCAGTACTTGAGGCGAACTGGAAACTTTGAGCGCTCGGCAGGCTTGCAAGCTGGAGTGGATGCGGTGGAGGTGCGTGGGAGGGGTGGGTGAGCACGATGAGCAAGGCGAGGAGCCAGGGAAGGAGCTCAGCTTGGGGAGGGGAGGGGCGTGCTCAGACCTCCCCATGACCTCCACCTCCAGGACGCCAGCAGCATCGTTTTCCTCTGTGATCTGCACATCCATTTCCCCCCCAACATCCTGGACTGCATCCGCAAACACTGTGTGGAGGGCAAGCTGGCCTTTGCGCCTGTGGTCATGCGCCTAGGCTGTGGGAGCTCGCCGGGGGACCCGCATGGTAATGCCCTGGATGCCCCCCATGCCCCACTAACCCCAGGAGTCCCACCAATGCCAGGGTAAGACCCAGGCCCTTGGGGGCCTCTCCCAACCCCCCAAGGTAGGCCTAAGGGCCCGTCAGTGCCCTTCCTGTTGCCTAGGACCCCAGAAGCTCCCGGGGAGGAACCTCCTCCAGCACCCCAGTCATGTGGAGGGCTCCCGGTTATGACCGCACACAGAAGAGTGACCCTTGACACCCCTCTGAGTCTGGGGAGGGAGACCTGCAGGCCTGGTGTCTGACAGGCATCTCCCCGCCCAGGCTACTGGGAGGTGAACGGCTTTGGCCTCTTTGGGATCTACAAGTCAGACTTTGACCGCGTCGGAGGCATGAACACCGAGGAGTTCCGGGACCAGTGGGGGGGCGAGGATTGGGAGCTCCTGGACAGGTGACCGCCTCCCCGTCCTCAGGGGGACTGAGCGTACTTCCGCTGAAGTGGGGAGGGCTAGCCCCGGAGGCCCTCACGTGCTGCAGGGCTCAGTCCTTCTGCTTCATCTCCCGGGATCTGTGACCCCACCCCACCCCCGAAACCTCTTCCTACTGCTAGGGTTTTGCAGGAACAGCCTTTTAACCAATTCTGTCCCCAGGTCCTATAGGCCCAGTGGTGGCCCTGAGTCCCCATCTCCCACCGGGGTCCCACGGGACCTGACACCCCTAGCCCCTGGGCCAGGGACCTGACCACTTCCCTGCTGCCCTGTCCCCGGGCTCCAGGAGAACCAGGGCAGCCACAAGTATCCCCTACCACCCAGTTCCTGTAGGCGCTGCTCCCCAGGGTCCTGACACTTCCCTCCCACCCAGGGTCCTGCAGGCAGGGCTGGAGGTGGAGCGACTCCGACTGCGGAATTTCTACCACCACTACCACTCCAAGCGGGGCATGTGGGGCGCACGTGGCCGGAAAGGCTCCCGCACGGAGGGACCCTGAAGACCAGGCCAACCCCCCAGCCCCTGGCCACAGGCCCATGGTGGGGGCTGGAGGCCGGGCCCTGAGCCTGGTCCCTGGGAAGCCGGCAGGGTTCATCACAGGGGAATGGCCACCACCGGTGCCTGGCCCAGCGAGGCCGCTGCCCCCTTTGTGCCCCTCCCCAGAGAGGCAGCCTTCACAGCTGGTTGGGGCCTGGACTTGGTCTCCATACTCTGTGCGATGATTTCTGTGAAATTTTGCCGTAGCGATGACATTGTTTTCAGGATTTCCGAGAGTTCTGTCTGTTCTGTTTTTTATTCAGAATGAAATGAAATATTTTTTTTAGTTCTGACTTGTCCTGTGCCTCATTTTCTTGGGAGGGCAGAGATCAGCCTCAGTGACTGCCAGAGAGCCCTGTTCTCCTGGGCACTGTCTCTGCCCCTGAGGCCCCTTCCTGACTCACAGCAAAAGCAGCCACACTGAACCCACCTTCTCCCACCCTCAAGGCCACTCTCTTCCTGCCCTCTCCCCTTGAGCTTCAGAGGTGAGACCTGGAGGTGAGAGGGCTTCAGACCTCTTTCCTGTTGCTCATGTGGCCACTAGTAACAGACATGAGGCAGGGCCTGCACAGCTTTCAGAAAAGCGCATTCAGCCATCTCACTCACTCCTTTTGAAAACAGAACTACCCCTACCCCACCTTCCTAGAAGGTCAAGGTGAACTCGGCACCTGACTATGGCCACCTGAGTGGCACTCGGGCTGAGCTGCCAGAAGCCGAAAACCCAACTCAAGCTTGTTTATGCCATAATGGGAGGAGGGGGTGATTATTTGACTTCTGTTCATATAAGTGGAAGTCAGGTTCAGGAGAACACTCGGAGAGTACTGACCCAGAGGCTGGATGATGCTGTCAAGGCCCAGCTCCTCCCTGGGGGTCTCAGCTATCTCAAGATGGGTCCTAGTGATGGAGGAGGGCTGGTGCTCTGCCTGGTACTAGGCAGCTGCCTGTATGAGTCCCTTGTGGCTGCCTAACAGATTTCCAGGAACACAGTAGAATGTGTGACCATGTTCTGGAGGTCAGAACCGAAAACCAAGGTTTCTGCAGCTCAAGCTCCTGGAGGCTTTGGGACTGAATCTGCCTTGTCTTCTCCCTGCTTCTAGAGGCCACTTGGCTCAGGGCTGCTGCCTCTGTCTTCAAAGCCAAAGGCTTGCTGTCTTCAGAGCCCTCCCTTCCTGTGTCTGTCACCTCTGCTTCCTTCATCACATCTCTCTGGCCCTCCTGCCTCCTCTTGTAAGGACATGTGTGATTATACTGCTCCCTCCCTTATTCAGGATAATCTCCGCATCTCAATCAACATTCTTTATGTAATCCCACCTGCAAAGTCCTTTTTGCCATGTCAGGTGACAGTCACAGGTTCCAGGGATTAGGGCCTGGATTCTTTGCGGCCACAATGCTCTGTACTTTCTCACTCACATTAAGTGGGAAGGCAGTATGTCCACCTAGAAGCCCAAATAATCCTCATGAGATTGACCCAAGTTGTATTCTTAGGTCCTGCCTCACCATGAACATGAGGCAGCAGGAAGGATTGCAATGAAAGAACCAGATGGATACCACCATCTGGCCCTGAGAAGACTCTAGAAATGACCCTGCTGGAAGGGACACTGACCACTGCCACTGCTGACGAGTAGCCAGCAGATGTGTGTAGACACAAAGTCGCCTCTAATACGCGGGCTTCATGGCAAATCCTGCTGGTCCAGAGAGCATAAGTGCCTACAGGGCAGACGACAACCAACCTGCCACATTCCTGCTCAGGAGCTACCAGGTGCCTGTAGCTCATACTGCCCACTTCTCCCCACGTATCTCGTTCAGAGGGAACTTTCTCCACTCACATATTTCATAACAAGAAAAGAACTAGTGCTGGATTTAGGAATACATTCTCTAAATTGGGGGGGGGGGGCTGTTGGCAGGGGGGAGGCAAACAACAAGCAGGTGAAGCATACACAGCAGAAAAACAATTACCTCTGGGAGCAGAAGAAAATTATAAACAAAATCACATGTAATCTGGACTATACATATAACATAATTTATTAATCCATTTTAACAACTATTCATTGAACACCAACTATGTTAAGTACTAAAGGAAAACTGAACGAAAGAGACAAGAATCTTCTACATTCATGGAACTTATGTTCTGGTGAAGGGTGAGGAGGAGCAGATAATAGACAGAATAAAGAAAATGTCTAGTATATTAGGTGGTGGCAACTGTTGTAGAAAAAAATTAAGCCAGGAAAGAGAACAGTGAGCTTGAGTTGAGACTGCAGTTGTAAACAGTGGTCAGAAAAAGCAAATCTGAAAAGGTGACATCCCAGAAATGATCTGAAGCCTGTAAAGCTACCAGGGATGCCAGTGGGTAAAAGAGCTCAGAGGTGACACTTGAGGAAATTTTTTAAATTAACAATAAACTCCTCTCATCACTCCTTTTCAACATCGTATTGGAAGTACAGTTGACTCTTGAACAACACAGGCCTTAGGGACAAAACCCCCTGCAGAGGGAAAAATCCATGTATAACCTTTGACTCCCCCCAAAACTTAACTACTTATAGCCTACTGTTGAAGCCTTACTGATAAAATAAATGGTCAATTGAGACATATTTTAAATATGTGTATTATATATTGTATTCTCAAAATAAGCTAGAAAAAAGAAAATGTTATTAAGAAAAAGAAAACGCAGTACAGTACTGTATTTTTTTTTAATCCACAAACAAGTGGACCTGCATAGTACAAACCCATGGTGTTCATGGGTCAGTTGTACTAGCTAATGCAATAAGACAAGAAAATAAAAAAGTAAACATATGGGAAATAAAAGGGACACACACATAAATGGCTTTGTTTGCAGATGATCATCTATGTAAAAATCCAAAAGAATCAGCAAAAAGAAAGAAGGAAGGAAGGAAGGAAGAAAAGAAACAAAACCGAAGGAAAAAAAAAACCCTCCTGGAATTTATAAGCAATTGTAGCAATGTTACAGGATATAAGGTTAATATACACAAGTCAATTGCTTTCCTATACACCAGCAATGAACAATTGGAATTTGAAATTTAAAACACAATACCATTTACATTAACACCAAAAAAATAGTTACTTAGGTATAAATCCAACAAAATATGCACAAGCAAGGAAAGCTGCAAAACTCCAATGAACAAAATCATAGAAAAATCAAATAAATGGAGAAATATCCACGTTAGTGAATAGGAAGACTCAATATTACCATGATGACTATTCTTCCCAACTTGATCTATAGATTCAATGCAATCCCAGTTAAAATCACAGCAAGTTATTTTGTGGATATCAACAAATTGATCTAAAGTTTATATGAAGAGGGGTGCCTGGGTGGCCCAGTCGGTTGAGCGTCCGACTTCGGCTCAGGTCATGATCTCATGGTTCGTGGGTTTGAGCCCCATGTCAGGCTCTGTGCTGACAGCCAGCTCAGAGCCTGGAGCCTGTTCCGATTCTGTGTCTCCCTCTCTCTCTGACCCTCCCCTGCTCACGCTGTCTCTCTCTCTTTCAGAAATAAATAAAACATTTAAAAATTTAAATAAATAAATAAATAAATAAATAAATAAATAAATGATAAAGTTTATATGAAGAGGCAAAAGACCCGGAATAGCCCACATGATATTGAAGGAGAAGAACAAACTTGGGTAGACGCCACTTGACTTCGAGGCTGACTGAAAAGCTACAGTGATTAAGACTGTGATGTTGATGGAAAGTAGACAAATCAATCAATGGAATAGAATAGAGAGCTCAGAAACAACCCACATAAATATGCTCTTTGTCAAAGGAGCAAACGCAAAACAATGGAGCAAAGGTCATGTCTTCACAAATGTTGCTGGAACAACTGGACGTCGCATGCAAATGAAGTGAATCTAGACACAGACCCCACGCCTCCACAGAGGCCAACTCAGAATGGATCCCAGACCTACGTGTAAAACACGAATCTGTAAAACTCTTAGAAGATAACATAGGAGAAAACCTGGATGACCTCAGGCGTGATGATGACTTTTTAGACATGACACCAAAGGCATGGTCCATGAGAGTAATAACTGGTAAGCAGGACTTCATGAACTTAAAACTTTTGCGAAAGACATTATCAATAGAATGAGAAGGTAAGTCACAGACAGGGAGAACATACTTGCAAAAGACACATTGGATAAAGAACTGTTATCCAAAATACAGAAAGAACTCTTAAGACTCAATAATAACAAAATAAACAACAGAACAAAACATTTTTTAAAATATTTTTTTGTTTGTTTAATTCTTGTTGAGGGAGAGAGAGACAGAATGTGAGTGCAGGAGGGGCAGAGGGAGAAGGAGACACAGAATCTGAAGTAGCTCCAGGCTCCAAGCTGTCAGCACAGAGCCAGATACGGGGCTTGAACTCACAAACTATGAGATCATGACCTGAGTCGAAACCAGACGCTTAACCGACTGAACCACCCAGGCGCCCCCAAAACAAAACATTTTTAAACAACAAAAAATGGTCCAGAGACCGTAACAGGCACTTCAGCAAAGAAGGTACACAGATGGCAGGCCCTACGTTGTCAGTAAATGCAAGTGAAAACAACGAGCTCCCTCTACACACCTGTTAGAATGGCCAAAATCTAGAACGCTGACATCAAACGCTGATGAGGATATGGAGCAACGGGAACTCTGTCGTTGCTGGGGGGAGTGCAAAATAGTGTAGCCGCTCTGGAAGACACTTGCCGGTTTCTTACACAACTAAAAAGACCGGTGGTCACCAGGGGTTGTGAGGGTGGGGGAAGGGATGACTAGACCGAGGATTTTAGGGCAGTGAAACCACTCTGTATGATACCATAACGGCGGATATATGTCACTACACGTTGGCCCACAGGGTGTACACCACCGAGACCAAACCCTGATGTGAACTGTGGACTTCAGTGATAATGTGTGTCCATGTAGGCTCCTGAACTGTTACAAATCTACCACTCGAAGGTGGGGGTGTTGCGAAGTGGGGAATCTATGAAGGGGGGCAGGGAAATCTCGGTACCTTCCTCTTAATTTTGCTGTAAACCTAAAACTGCTCTAAAAAATTCAGTCTTCTTTAAAAATCAATGATAAAAACAAAGAAAATTAAAATCTGACAACATTTGGGGGGGGTGGGAAATGGAAGAGAAATATAAAACCTTTACAGAAATAAAAGCCACCTGGGGCACCTGGGTGGCTCAGTCAGTTAAGCGTCCGACTTCGGCTCAGGTCATGATCTCACAGTTCGTGGGTTCAGGACCCGCATTGGGCTCTGTGCTGACACCTCACAGCCTGAAGCCTGTATCGG